AGATGAAAATCCTCTGATCCGGAAGACTACATAAGAACCGGATGTCTCGCTACAACCCGCTGAAGGCTAAGTCACCCAAATCGGAAGACTAGCGCGGATCTCTTTCTCACCCGGAAGTCTGAGAATGACTCCTCCGGATTTGTCAGCTAAGAACCGGATGCCTCAAGGAAGACCGGAATTCTCAAAAAGCGGACAAGTGAGAAAAGACTTAGAAAATTATCTAAGTCTTGAATGAAGAAATTCTACCCGTTGGTAAGGAAAAATCAATCTCTTGATTTTCAACGGCTAGATTGAAGATAATTATGCTGATTCAAGAACAAATGACTCGAAGACAAAGTCTGAACCTCTAAAAATTGAAGAACCTGTCCAGAATTCCTAAACAAGCACTAGAAGACAAACAGAGTAAAGTTCTACAGTCCAGAATACTTGAACAGCAGCTAGAAGACGGACTCTATGGAAAAAGGGAATCTCTCCTTTAACAAAGGGGTATGTCCAAACACCAATTCCAATGAGGAATCTTCAAATCACAATCTTCATTCAAAATTGAAGCCATCAAATGCAACGGATAGTCTATTATGATTCAACGGATAGATTATCCAATCCAGCTATAAATAGCATCCTTGGAAGACTGAAGAAAAAGAAATGAGATACAACAACACAACGAAGCAATCTCTAACAAAAAAGCTATCTCATTCACAGTTAGCCCAAAAGGCTTGATAAAGAGAGATTTCTAAACTCCTTATCCAGAAGCAAACTTCTTCCCCTTCCAAAGAGCTATAGTGTAAACACTTGAAGGTTTCCTTGCCTCAAGCACCACACCACGTTGAAGGATATTACTTTTGATCAAACTTATTGATTAAAAAGGGGGTAGGTCAACTCTCTTACAAGTTGATCTTGCAAGTCCTACTATTCGGACCTTGCAGTTGTTGAAGAAGCTTGACCTTCGAAGGAACAACAAAGCCAGCACGAGTGCAGTAGCAACATTGGTTTTTTGAAGATATACCGTGCAGAAATTCACACAAGTGTAATTGTTGGTTCATTATTCAACAACCAACTACATAGTGGATTTTGAGGACGTAGAAGGATTACCCCACCACTACAAGAATTTGTCTGGACTGCAACGGATATCTGCTACGGAAATAAATTCGTAGCAGATCTGCAACGAATCCGCGACGGAATTGTATACCTCGAAAAAAAACATAATCTGCGACGGATATATATTTTCCGTCGCAAATATAAGGTGGTAAAAATTTGACCTTAAAATCTGCGACGAAACCTTACCCCCGTCGCAGATCCATCGCAGGTTTAAAGTAAAAAACGAGAGTCAAAATTTTCCAGCCATTCGTTCTTCACTTGAACCCTATCCCGATTCTCTCTCCCCCTCCGCCGTCCTGCGACTGCCACCCCCTCCGCCAGCCTTCAACGACGGTCCCCCACCTCGCCAGCCACGCCGGACCCTCCACCTATCGTCTCGCCCAGCCGCGCGACCTCCCCAGCGGCGCCAGCATCGCCATCCGCTTTGGCCTCACCAGCGGCGCTAGCGTTTGTCCTCCCCAGCGGCGCCAGCCGTCTCTCTTCCGGCGCCGACCTCCTCTTCCTCTTTGAGGTGATGTTATTTTTGTTTAATTTATTTTTTTGGTGAAATTGAATTTCTTTGTGTGAAATTGAGTGCATTTTTGGTGAAATTTACTTAAAATTGTGTGAATATGAGATGAAATTGACTTGAAATTGGGTAACAATTGCACTACTTTTTGGTGAAATTGATGGCCGTGTAATTTTAGTTAAAATTGTGTTCGTAAATTTGTTGTTTATTGTGAGTTTAGGTAAAATTTAGTTTAATTTTGTGAAATTGAGGTGATGATAAGTTCATATCTATAGTTGAATGATTGTTGTTTGTGGTTTAATAAGTTTGTCGTTTGTTAGCCGCCTTTATTGTTGCTATGGTTTGTTGGTAATAAATGTCATTGATATTCTTGGTTAAATTATTGTTGTTTGTTGCCTTTCATTTACCAGGCGTTTCTAGAATGAGTCCATTCGAAAATCGTGAGTTGATGTATAAGAAATATGAGAGAGAAGGTGTT